TTCAGGTCTCACATTTAGATCTTTAATCCATATTATTTTTGTTTTTGACATAAGATAGTGGTTCAGTTTCACTCTTTTGAATGTAGTTGTCCCGTTTTTATCAACATCATTTATTGAAGAGACTGCCTTTTCCTTATTACATATTTTTGCCTCCTTTGCCACAGATTAATTGACCATATAACCATTGGGTTTATTTCTGCACTCTTTATTCTGTTCCACTGATCTATGTGTCTATTTTTGTACCAGTTCCAAATTGTTTTGATTACTGTAGCTTTATAGTATATTTTGAATTCTGGAATTATGGTACCTCCAGCTTTGTTCTTTCTCAAGATTGCTTTGGTTACTAAGCTCTTTTATGATTCCATACAAATTTTGGGATTATTTGTTCTAGTTCTGTGAAAAATACTGTTGATATTTTTATAGGGATTGCATTGAATCTGTAGATTAGTATTTTGTGTAGTATAGATATTTTAACAACGTTTATTTTTCCAATTCATGAGCATGGTGTATCATTTCATTTGTGTTGTCTTCACTTTCTTTCATCAGTGTCATACAGTTTTTAGAGTATAGGTCTTTTGCTTTCTTGGTTAAATTTATTCCTGATATTTTATTATTTTTGATACAATTGGGATTGTTTTCTTAATTTCTTCTTCTGCTACTTTATTATTAATCTATAGAAATTAACAGATTTCTATGTATCATTTTGTATCCTGCAACTCTACTGTCTTCATTTATTAGTTCTAATAATTTTTAGTAGAGTCTTTAGGGTTTTCTATATATAGTATTATGTCATCGCCAAATAGTGACAGTTTTACTTCTTCTTTAACCAATTTGGATACTTTTTATTGTTTTTTCTTGTCTGATTGCTGCAGCTGGGACTTTCAGTACTATGTTAAATAAAAGTGGTGATTGAGGACATGCTTGCTTTGTTCTTGATATAAAGGAAAAGCTTTCAATTTTTCACCACTGAATATGATATGAACTATTGGTTTGTCATGTATGGCCTTTATTATGTTGGGGTATGTTCTCTCTAAACTTACTTTGTTGAGAGTTTTTAATCATGAACAGCTGTTGGATTTTGTCAGATGTTTTTTCTGCATCTGTTGAGGTCATCATATGGTTTTTATCCTTCATTTTGTTAGTGACATGTCATGTGGACTGATTTGCGGATATTAAACCAGTGCATGTGGAGTACTTTATATACATTTGTAACTGTAGTTAATTAACATTATTTCTAAAAATAAGACTTAAATAAAATCACCAGATAACAAAGATGAACAAAGACTACTAAGATACAGGTTAAGTGTGTTTATAACAATTACATAATAACAATAGGAAAATATGTTCCAGGAGGACAAGAACTGTTTTGTACACTACTGCATCTCAATGCCTAGAACAGTGCTTAAAACAAAGTAGGTACTCAGTAAATGTTTATGGAAAGCATGAATACATAGTTAACACATACCAGGAAAACTGAATACACAAATTTTCCAGTAATACAATAGTCGTTAAAATATGTGAGTACAAGGATAAATTGAAAATTTACTCAGTTTTTAATTTTAAAAAATGGAATTTTTTTAGCAGCTGAGAAAGGTCTTACTAGGCTGACTCTACCAAAGAGAACAACTTTAATGCCTGGACCTAAAAAGAAATACAACAAAAAGTCACAATGCGTATCTCTGGGTTTGTGGATTCAGGTTATTTTAATTTTACTCTTTGTAATTTAAAAATGTTTCTAAAGATGGTGGGGTTATAGACATTGTGGGGGAAGGTGTGTGCTGTGGTGAGTGCTGTGAAGTGTACCAGTTCCAAATTGTTTTGATTACTGTAGTACCCCTGGGGCTAAAAATACATTATATGAAAAAAAAATACATTATATGTTTATAAAAAATTTAAAAATTTAAAAATTGTTTCTAAAGAAAAAAAATCACATATTTTCATATAAATATATATGAAACAGATAAAATAGTACCTTTGTGTTTATTTTTAGAAGGAATCAGTTTTGGTTGTTGGACTTTTTCTTAGCATCCTGGCCACTAAACAGTACTTTAACAATGTAGAGCAGGAGCTTCTCCGTCCAACTCAGTTCTTTGCAGAAATACTAAATTTTTCTTTATGGTCATAACTCTTAATTTTAAAGTCTATTTATTTCTGTCTCTGGTCTTAGACCTTTTATAATTATTTGAGTTCTCCAACTTTTGTCTTAGGTCCCCTCCATCACTGGAAAGCAGACTGATGCTACTTCCTTGATTCTGAGCTTATATCTATTTTTATTTAGTATTTACATCTCTTTTCTCTTTAAAAGTGTTTTTCTGGACACATAGCATCCTTATATTGCTCTTCAGTTCTTGGGCCTAGAATAGTCGTCTCTCCAGTAGAATAGCTCTTTGCTGCCACCTTCTGGTTTTTGGCTGCTAAAGCCAAGCAGCAGGTCAAAGGTGACAGTGTTTCTGTGTGGGCTGTTCCTAGCATCTGAGAATGCTCCCCCTTTTCTTTGGTTTCTTTCGAGCTCTTTAAAGTGATCTTTTGTTATATTTTATTCTCCAAAACCAGAATTAACGAGTTGTTACAGAGACTTTATGTCTCCGAAGCCAAAACTTTATACCAACTTTTAACAGAGAAAGCTTTTTGATCTCCGCTCTAGAGAATATCAGAATATCTAGAATAGTAGAGGGGGCAGCCACAGCCTTTATGGATGAAGAAAGTACCCAAAAAAGTGATAAGCATGGAAGAGGCTGCCTTCCCCCAAAGCTAGAGTAAGGTCTTACAGGAGAGAGTGTGGCTGTGTCTCAGTGGATGACCACAAGCAGCCACTTGCCAGATGCCTGAGAATTTGATGGAGGTTAAATGGAGTTTGAATGGAGTTTCTAGGTAGAGAACTTGGCTGGAGGGTAAGCACCATTGGTCTTCTACATACCAGCTGGCAGCAATTCTGTGGAAAGAAGAAAATAACTGGAATCAGAACAAGGATGTGAAGCACCTTAGTGCAGCTTTGTAAGCCCCTCCACTGCCCTCTATTGACAAAGCCTAACTTAACTCCAGCTGGCAAAAGAAAACTACATATACAGCTCCAGCATCTCAAATTAGAGTAAAGAGTGGATTTAGAACTAAGAGGCAATAATTAGATGACTGACACAAAGATGTAGTTCACATGCAAATTTCTCCAGTTCGGTTGATTTCTGTATGTCACTTAGCACCATGCATTCCATTTATCTCATAACTTTTGAGTCTGCTTTCCTCTTCAACAAATTTGTTGAAGAGCCTAGACCTGTTACTTTGGAGCTCTCACATGAATTTATTTTTTGTTCATTGTTAGATTCAGGTTAAACACTTTTGGCAGGAGTATTACGTTGTTACAATATTGTGTCAGTGAAGCATCACAAAGCGCATGATATAAGTTTGTCTCATTATTATTGATAGTAAGTTTGAGCATTTGGTTAAAATTATGACCAACAGATGTATTCATTTTCCTGTTGTAATTAATAAGTACTCAATTGAGCGAAATTTTAAGAACATGTCGTTGTCTTTGTTTCCAAAAAAAGAGAATGTACTTCAATTTAGCATCTATTGGTAATTCTTGGTTGAATCCATTACTGTAATAGTTGTGAAATGGCAATTGTTTTGGGCTTTCATTCCCTTTACAATGAACTGGCAATGAGAACTGAGAAGTCTAGCACAAGCTGGGTTGCAGGCCATGTTCATAAAAGTGGCCAGTTTTGATTCAGTTCTTTTTTTTTAATATTTTTATTTATTTATTTGACAGAGATCACAAGTAGGCAGAGAGGCAGGCAGAGAGAGAGGGGGAAGCAGGCTCCCTGCTGAGCAGAGAGCCCGATGCAGGGCTCGATGCGGGGCTCGATCCCAGGACCCTGGGATCATGACCTGAGTCGAAGGCAGAGGCTTAACCCACTGAGCCACCCAGGCACCCTGATTCAGTTCTGATTCAGGCACTTACCTCTGCATTTCCTACCACTTCACCTGTTTCACCAAGTCTCAGGAAAACATCCTTGTAGGCCTGGTTTCGCTCTCCATCCTTAACATACTGTTTATAAATAAAAATATGTGTGATTATGGTATTTTAACGGATCTTGAGTTTCTCATTATATAAAGAGATTTTTTAAAAAACACAATTTTGATTTTGAAAGAAACTTAAACTTTTACAGTTTAATTACCCAACCTTGGGATCAAAAGCAGTTTGTTTGTTGTTAATGCATTTATTCAACAAATTATTTATTTAGAAAGTGTTTTTACAACTACTATATAACTCTGTCACTCTCCAGCCTCTCTTCTTGAACATTTTCAATAATAGTTCAGCTGGTATTGTACTAAGAAGACCACACGCTGTCTCTTGTGTGAAGTCTACACTATTATGTATCCTTTTAATCCTGATATTGTTTTTAACAGCTACGTGATGCATGTTGCATAATTAAAAGGCAGTATCTCTGATTGTGAGGTAATGTCAAGTATTACTATGGAGAGTTCAAATCTATCCACAAATTTTTGCCCCTAACGTCGAAGGAATGATTTTTTTTTTTTTAAGAAAAAAAATTTTATTCTAGCCAGATGGAGAACCAGATCACATTTTACAAACTTCAGACTTAAATTATGTCTATCATGTTTTCAAAATTGAATGTGTGCCTCCTGGAAAGTAATATTAAAAACAAACTGATTGTTTTTAAAAAGGAATTGAAGACTGGTTAGTTTTCCCTTTTTGGTTACCTTGATATTTTAGTTCAGGGTTATAAAGCACAAACTGAACTGAACTGAAACTTTGTATTCTTTTTCTTGGGATTGTATCACTAACTTTGCTTCAAATAACATCAGAAGTTTTGTTTGGCTTGGTGGTTGGTTTTGTTTTTTTGTAATACTCCATTTTATGAATATTTTACTCTTTATTATAATATAAATAAGATGTATCTTGTTTTAGCAATTGTCTTTAATAATGTTTTCTGATATTCTACAAATAAAACCTCCTTTTTAAAAAATTTGATAATTTGTAGGGTAGAGAAGAATTCTTGAAAAAACTCACACGAGGTGAAGTAGCTAATGGAATGATGATTCAGGTAATCCTAATTTTGTTTCAATATTTTATTCTTCCTTTAATTTGCATTTTACTTAGCATTTTAAATTTGCCTGTAATGAGGCATCTTTTCACTACTTGGTTTGCAAGCCAGCAGTTTTCTCTCCTTAGCTGATGACAGTTGCCCTCTGTGTATGACTAGCAGTGTCTGATCATGCATAAAGAAACTGACCTCCCATACACATATCTCATTTTGTGGCTTAATGGGAATTTCTGCCAGTCTAGTAAAAGGGCAGTGAGATCTTATTCCTAAGTGTCTCTTTAGTTTGCTTTGTGATGATGTTATGTATTCTTTACTTTTAGTGCCTTTCAATGGAATTTCTTTATTTAACACTGAAAGAAAAATGTGCTACAATATTTCTTTTTTTTTTTTTAAGACTTTTATTTATTTATTTGACAGAGAGAGACACAACAAGAGAGGGAACACAAGCAGGGGGAGTGGGAGAGGGAGAAGCAAGCTTCCCACCAAGCAGGGAGCCGGATGTGGGGCTCCATCCCAGGACCCTGGGATCATGACCTGAGCCAAAGACAGACGCTTGATGCCTGAGTCACCCAGGTGCCCCTGCTACGATATTTCCATATAAGATTTTGAAATTAAATTATTATATCTAGCAAAATCAATTTTAATTTTTTTTTAATCTCTATCACCTGCATATGCTTTGGAATCAGGGTTGGGTGTTTTGATGCTTGGCATGTTTCTAGAATGCCTCCCTTTCAGAAATAAATAAATATTTAAAATTATGAAAATAAAATCAAGAGGCAAAACAGTTCAAAACAGTGTTTTTTATATACCTCTTTGAGATTATCTGGATGGACCTCTGGCCTTCTTCCATATAAACACAAATTGTGATTTCTTCTGTTAGGAAATTTGGTATTTTCAAACATATAAAAGCAGTGGTTCTCTATTTCTATATGCTTAAAATGCCAAATTTTCTGATTTATTTTTCTTCAAATATATATGTTCAGTAATTCCATAATCTTCTATCCCTCTCTGCTTCATATTTTGTCATTAACTTCTTGTTCATTGGTTTTATTGGATCTTAGATTACAGGAATTACATATATTTCACTATTTGATGTTAGTGTGATTCTTAACCTTATTATCCTCAATACTTACTTAAGAATGTTTGACTTTTTATTGTCTATATTAAAATTTTCTCTCATTTTTTTCTAATAATAATTGTGTATCATATAAATATGCTATATTCATACCTATTGCTTTTTATGGTGGCATTTTTTTTTTAATTTTTAAATAGCAACAAAAACTACTGCCTGGCTCAGGACTGAGACTCAATAAACATTTTTTTTTTTAAGTTTTTAATTCCAGTTAGTTAACACATAGTGAAATATTAGTTTCATGTGTACAATATAGTGATTCAGCAATTCTATACATCACCCTGTGCTCATTACAAGTGTACTCCTAAGTCCCCATGTTTAAGTAATTAATAACTGAATGAATTATTTAAAATCTGGCAGAAAAAACTGTATTCCATCCAAGAAGAACAGATACTTGAGAGGCGGGATCTTTTGGAAAATAAAGCAATGTGTACCCTAGCACTGGCAAAACTTGGGACACCTCTACTTCAACTAGAAGCAGATGCTATAAGAATCAGAACTATCCACAAAGAACATTCTGATGTAAGCATTTATAATTAATCCAGAAACTAATTTCCAGGAATATTTAAGTCAATAAACCATGTATGTGATTTTACATTATTACTTGGAATATTATGATTTCACATAGAAAGACATAAAAGCATGAACAAAATATGTATTTTACGACCACACAACTAATCTATAGTGGAACTACATAGCAAGACTATGAATGCTATTACCGGGAACCCCGTACTCTATATTAGAGTGTACTTAGGCAAACAGTTTTCAAATAAAATGAGTAGTGATTTATTTGGTGTGATTGCCCACTATGTTAAATTTAATTCAAAGTCTTTACTGCTTGTTAATAAAATGCTAAAGCTATGTTTGCTCAAATGTAAAATATAATGCATCTTGACATTTTTATGGCAAATATTTGATGTATGTAGAAGAAGTTAAGACACCTAGGATGAAAAATAAAGCAAATGTCGATAAAATATTTTCAAAACAACAAGTTTATGGCAGTAACTGATATTGCTAGCCCTTCCCAAAGAAAAATTAAGTAGAAAAATATGTATGCATCATGTCATTAGTCTTTTGGAAAAGTAGAGGGTGTGGTAAGAGTTATATATTCTTGTCCTTAGATGCAGGGAGGACATACATATATTCATTTGGGCCATTTTGGCAACAGGATTTTTTTTTTCCTTTGTAAATGATGATGTAATTTTATATTCTGAGTCTTTAAAAATTTTCAGTGTTTTTTTAAATTTAAAAAACTTTATGATTTAGAAAATGTTCCCATTATGAAAGTTTATTTTGATCTTCAAAGTCTCCCTATGAAATGGCCAAGACAGAGTTTATCTGGATCACAGACTTCAGAAAACTTGGGCCTAAATGTGTGAAGCAGCTTGTACAAGGCCACGAAACATGGCAACAACAAATCCTGAGTATACTACTATATTCAGGGCTCTTAATTGCTTATCCTAGAGCTCATGTAATGAATATATAACCAGTACTAACACCTCGTGAGATAAATGATTTTAATAATGGCTCCTCCTTACATTAGTGATGGAAATTTATTAATTGCTTCAAAAGGCTCAGTATAATCATCTGAGTTTAATGAATTCCTGAAAAGATTAATGACTTTTATTCCCCCTAATTTTATAATAGCCATTGTTTTATCTCATCTTATACTTGGGTAATCATTTTTGTTTTTATTATGTTTTAAGTTTATAAATTATAAGAAATATCAATGTAACACAAACTCTTGAAAACAATAAGTTTTTATGTACTTTTGGTAATGATTGCTAACAATTTGTATTTGCAGTTTCAATTTTGGTTAAGATATTTTAAATATCATGGTGAAAACTTGCAATTTCTATGTGAGTTTTTTAGTTTTTTTATTTAGCTAAAATTGGTTGGGTTTTGGTTTTCTCCAATAATTCATAATGGAATATTGGGATGTGGATATCATAATATGTTTTTGTAATTCATGTTTGGTGGTCCTTTTCCCTTATACCAAAATATATATTGTTATTATTAATATAGCCACTTGGAAACTATTTAGTCTAACCCGTGATAATTGGATTGCAAATGTTATACATCTTAATTTCTGAATGTCTTCTAGATATTAAATGATATAATTGAGAGGAGAGACTATGTTAAAAGAAACGTGGAACGAACTAATCAAAAATTACGAAGAAGGGGGAAGAAAACCCGTGATGCAATAACAGAAACCGAGGTAAGAAATTTAACATAAAAAATAATTTTGAATTTACAACTTCTTTATGTCAATGAAAACTTTTCAGGCAAATTTATTTTAGGTGGATGCCTCTCATTTCTAATTGGTTACAGTAAGTAGTTTCTATACACATACACACACATACATGCACCACACATGCACACACACACAGTCTCTGTGTCTTCATTTTTTCTCTCTTACAGTGGTTTTCCCATTGTACTAGTGCATCCTCCTGTAAACCTATCCTACAAAGTAGGGGTGGGGATTTGTATTGTATTAAATAGTACCGTGTTTCTACAGATGGGACCAATATACAGACTGAAACGTCTGTTAATATCCGACATCTCGGTTTTACCCTCAAGCTGGTGTATAGGCAGCATGAACAAGTGGTCATATATCAAAAGGGCTTTTTCCAAATTAGAAATATTTGCTCCCTGAAAATCTTCTTCTCTTTAATATTCTGTCTTTAGAGGATCTCTGGGTATGGGGAAGTAGAGACAGTCCATTGTCTTTAACTTGCTGTACTCTATGCTTTAAAGGTAGCACCAAATGGATTTGTTGGTGGACAGCATGTTGGCTATGAGATAGAGGTGTAATCATATCACTTTTTTTTCCAGAATTAGGTTTTTTTTTAATATAATTTTTTATTTTTTTCTTAACATATAATGTATTATTAGCCTCAAGGGTACAGGTCTGTGAATCACCGGGTTTACACACTTCATAGCACATACCTTCCCCAATGTCCATAACCCCACCACCCTCTCCCTACCCCACTGTACTAAGCCACAAAAGAAATGTAAACATTATCAAGGAAAATAGTAGTAATAATACCAACAGATACTGTTATTTTGCATATTCTCTGTATAGCAGGCACTATTATAAGTGCTCAGACACATTAACTCATTTCAACTTCATAATAACTCTGTGAAGATTGTGCTATTATTATCCCCATTCTACAGTTGAAAAATCTCATATCTTATTTTCGAATTAGCTTGTTCAGTTTCACACAGCTCATTAATGGAGGAGTTGAGATTCACTAAATCCAACACTGGCCTTAGAGTCTGTACTATTACATTATTCTGGTCAGATCATACAGGTTACTTTTGTTGAATACAATGAAGCAAATTCAGAACTCAATAACAAAAAAAATAGAACAAAAAAGAAAACAGATTACTTGAAATATTTCTTAAATTACTTTTTTTCATCATTCGGTATGTGTGTTAAGGAATATTTAGAAGCACAAGTTGTTTACAAATGACTGATGATGAACTATACAGCAAAATTTACAGAACAGGCCAAGGTAATACATTAGTGTTACCAATAAATTATCTTGGTAAGAAAAACTTAAAGTACCTAGCATACCTGTAAGGACAAAAGAGGATAAAAACAGCCATGGGAAAAATTATAAGAGAAATAATTTTATATAGTAGTGGAAGAAAGAATGCTATTTTGCATAACATTTTCTTTTAAAATTTAGATGAATTATATATTTATAAAATACAAATAATGAAAACTGGATAAAGAGGGAAAATCACAACAAGTGTAGAATACAAATTACAGAATAAATGTAATTTGTCTATACCACTGACCACAAGAACAAGCACAGGGGCACTTGGGTGGCTCAATCCGTTAAGCCTCTGACTCTTGATTTCAGCTCAGGTCATGATCTCGAGGTTGTGAGATTGAGCCCCTCGTTAGGCTCACCTGAGGTTCTCTTAGTCCCTCTCCCTGTGGCCCTCTCCCCCAGCTTGCATGTATGCATACTCTCTCTCTAAAAGCAGAAAACAACAACAACAACCAAAAAAACCAAGACAAAACAACAACAACAAAAAAACATGCCCAGATACTTTGCAGGCCTCCCTACAAAGATGAGATGCAGACCATAAGAAAGTATAGAAAGCTTCTAAATTCACTCTATAATAATAGAATTCTGGAACTGTAACTGAAAAATACTAGCTTGAAAAAAAATCTATAGGTGGTCTCACTTATGAACACAGATGACAAACTCTTAAATACATCAGTGAACTGAATTTTTACAGTGTATTATGCAAAGTAACATTCCTTTGAAGAATGTGAAGATGAGGGTGGCTCAGTTGGTTAAGCCGCTGCCTTAGGCTCAGGTCATGATCCCAGGGTCCTGGGATCAAGTCCTGCATTGGGCTCCTTGCTTGGCGGGGAGCCTGCTTCCCCCTCTCCGCTGCCTGCCTCTCAGCCTACTTGCGATCTCTCTCTCTCTGTCAAATAAATAAATAAAATCTAAAATTAAAAAAAAAATGTGAAGATGAGTCAGCATAAACAAATGTACAGCTGACACTTGAACAAATGCAGGGTTTAGACTGTGCCACGTGTAACTTTTGACTCCCCCAAAACTTAACTACTAATAGCCTGTTGTTGACTGGGAGCTTTGCTGATAACAGACAGTTGATTGACAAATAATTTTTATGCTACAGATATTATATACTGTATCTTTATGTTAAAGTAGCTAGGCAAAAAAATGTTATTAGGAAAATCATAAGGAAGAAAAAATACATTTACAGCAGTGTGCCGTTAAAAATCTGCCTGTGAGCGGACCTGCAAGTTCAAACCTGTGTTGTCCAAGGATCAACTGTACTACTATGATTCAGTACATTTTCAGAAATGAAAGACAACCTAAAATATTTAATAAAACACTATAGCCACTAATGATTTTCAGAAAGGCTTAACTATCTAGAAATAGAATGAAAACATCCTTACCTTGATAATGTGTCATAGTGTTTCTACCAGTATTTTCCAGCTAACGCTCTACTTAATGGTGAAAGATTAAAAGTGTTTCCTTTAAAATCAGGAACAAAAACATTCAGACAAGTTTCTACTACTTAGCATACTATTGTTATTGACAAGTTATTGTTAACAAGTCACAAAGGAAAAATATATGTGTTGAACATGGCAACGGAAAACCACCCAGTTCTTATGTCCACATCTGAATACTAGTTTAAAAAATACTAACTAAAAATGGCCAAGGTGGTATGTTTAATAAATATAACAAATTTCAATGAAGAATATGAGTTAACACATTCTTTGTGTGTGCCCTCAATATTATAGAAGGTACTAGGAGTTGAAGGGCTAGAGAAGAAGGACTAATTTTCTTTTATTTGTCCTTCAAATAAGTTTGTCTTTCCAATTACTGTTAAGCACTTAAGATATATTAAACATTGTCGGAATTTGCCGGAATTGGGGAAGTAAAAGGAGAACTTTGTTCACTCAAAAAGTTTGTCAACTTGTTGGGGAACAGACAAGGACATAGAGAGCATTAATACGCTGTGACCAAAGCCATGACAGCAGTATAATGAGGTGGAAGAGTGTCATGGAGGAGGAAAACCTGACTGAACCCAGGGAATTGGGGAAGGTTTTTCAGAGGTTATATCTAAAAATGAGAATTACTAGTAGAGTAAATGAAGGTTAAATACTTACAGTACCATGCTGTTGTGGAGTACAGATGATACACAAAAAGCCTTAAAAAATTATTGTCACTGGAGATGATACTTCTTCTTCATCCTATTATTATTATTATTATTATTATTATTATATAATTTAAAAATTGATGAAGAAATGAAGTAAGGGCATTTTAGAAACAGGTGCTGTTTGAAAAGCAAAGATATGGAATAGTGCTATGTGTTTGTGGAATTGCAAGTAGTTTGGTATGACTAGAGAGCAGGGTACCCATTATAAGAGTGAAAAGAGATGAAGCTAGTGAGATGGGCAATACACAGATGAAGAAATGGCTCGTGTGCCATGCTGTTGAACTCCAAACTGTTGTAATGTCAAACATTGTTAATAGCATTTATTAAGTACTTTGATGCTGATAGGGGTACAAGCCATACTATAGACCCTATTTCTGTCTTCTAAGAACTTAAGTTCTAAGACAAATAATTTTTAAGACAAATAATTCTATCTTTTACTGTGCATAAGCATTTCAGTCATGGGCCAAGCTAAACATGGGCCATTACTGAATTTTTACTCTTTTAACCCCAGTTTAAATCTTGGGCATAGATTCTAAACTTATTATGTTTAGATAATTTAAGAAATAAATCTTAAATAAAAATCTTAAAATCCTAAAATTCTTAATCTAAAATCTTTTTTAAAATCTTAAATAAAAATTAAAAATACAATTTGAAGTTAATAATTTAGAATCTGAATATAATCTTTATTACCTAATATTTTAAAATATGTGACTTGAAAGTTTTAGGAAGATAAGGAAATGATGAAAAATGTTTTATAATAAAACATTTATTAACTGCAATTCAGATTTTTAGAGTCTTCCCTGTCTGGACATGAAAGTACCCTTGGGTTGGAAAACTTCCAAATTCCTGAAGCCTATGTCCCCCAGGGCTAGAGAAAGAAATAAGCCAAAGAATGGTCATTTAATGTCATTATATGTGCTGTTTTATGCCTTTATTCCCGCTTGTTCTGATGGCACTTCGGCATTTATCAAAAGACTTACCACCCTATTGTGGGTGGGGGGCAAACTTCTGCTCGTTGCACATGTGCAGGTTTGTACTCCTGATTGACACATGATATCTAACTGCTTCTCTCTAGACTCAGCTCACTATAATGTTTCTGATCTTTTTTGATGCCATGGACGGCAATGTGCTGTTCATGTTTACCAAAGCCTCACTGATGGTACCTATTAAATTGGCAAAAGACCATTTTTGGCTTTTCATTGCTGTCTGCAAGGAACACACTGTCTCCTTCTGTCCTTTAGTGTAGAGTCTTCTGACACCACCTTCAGCACAGCTGAACTGGCTGGTATGGTCTAAGTTGTTGATACCATTGCTTCTGATGTCTTCTGAGTTTCTTGCGGGAATCTTCCTTCAAGATTAAGGAATTAATTATGGAATCTGACCTAAAATTCAAACTTAGTGGTAGCATGATGTACCCAGAGCTGCCCATCCTCTTTGACTCCTACTTACCTACTTTATTCCGAACTTGTACCTCTTCACACTTTGCGGGGGGCAGGGATT